AAGTTCAACCCTAATTGGGATCATAAGACTTGGCTCTGCTATTCATATTCGTGCGTCGTGGTACGCGTTTATTCAATGCATCTACTTAATAGGCACACATTTGAAGTAATCAACGGCGCAGAGATATCGCCTTGCGCATCACCCTCCATAAGGCAATCCTGAGGCACTATCACAGCATGTATGCCTGCATGCACGTATTCAAGTTCAGTTCCCGTGACTGTAAATCATGAAATCATCGCTCCCAGTCCTTCATTGCAATGACATAATTTCTACACCGCATCGCACCCAAATTCAACAATCCCAAATATAGCCAACTGTCAACAATTAACACCTCCCTTTACAGCCACCTCCCTAATACCTATACGGCCAATCCTTCCCTTTTCGGACAGAAACCACCCTATGCCACAACGCCTTTGCCCCTATCTCCTTCCACCGGAACAGCAGGGAACAGCAGCAGTAAACTCGACTATCAGTATCAGAAGCAAGAGCGCAGAGAAGCGGCACGGAGCTAGCTTAGGATATACTGGCGTCTTCCCGAATCCCTGGAATCGCCCCCTTGTAGGTCGACAAACTCTATGTCTATTCCTCCTTTGACATAACTTAAAGTAGAAAAGTCTATTTTTCTATCCAAATTCACACTTATATTTATATTTATCCAACTGAGAGTCAGACTGCGCCTCATCCCTAAACGCGTCCGTCCTTAATTATTCCTAATCCTAATCCTAAATGTTCAAATCCCACCCTAATTAACCAACTTTAGTTTAAATTCCCATCCTCTTAAATAATTCCCAGACTCAAACTCGGACTCGGACTCGGACTCGGCGGCGGCGGGGCGCATGATCAGACTCGTCTTCGAAATTCGCATGCCACTGATGATAGATAGACTCGGGGGTGCTATCATGGTATCTGGTGATAAGCGATAACCTCCGTACTGCGAAAAACAATGAAAGGAACAACACAGCGAACGTGACTGTCTCCAAGCGCATTCGAATCTCAATTTCGAACCTTGAGCCCTTTTTAGAACATTCGAACCCATCTCTACCACTCCCTGCCATGATATACATAGGGTCTTATACGCAGGGCTCTCCTTCGCCGCTTCGATTCGAACGTGCCAACTTGAATGCTTCGCTCGCTTATCCCTGACTCAACGCTCCTTGCCGAAAATCGACATTCCTTATTCCGAAAACACTCCTACCTTACATACCTTACAACCTCAGGCAAACCTCAGGGGTCATTATCATAATTGTGCACGCCTTCGCGATGACCGGTCTCTCCCGCGTTATCTGTACCCCACACCCCTTAATGATTCGCCTGTGATTTCGATGCAGACATGTACGCGCGCGGGGAAAGTAAGGGAAATTGATAGAGACGGTTTAGGAAGTCGTGGGTCCTAAAACGGATAGATACCATGATTTTCCAAAAGGATGTCACGATCATGATGTATATAACTATAAGAGGGGCCCAGGCGTTGTACATCGTTGGAATTGGGTGTGGCTGGTCTGTCTTTGAAATTGTCGTGGTAAAGTGGAAATGGCACTACTATGTGTGTATATGTAGATAAAGGGAAAGGAATATGGTGTGATTTATTATTTTAGATGTAATAATTTAGGTAGGTAATTACTGGACCATAACATTGCAGCGATGGACAAACTGAAACGCGGTGGCAAATCAGGCATATCCCTTTCGCCGGCGCCTTCAAGCCAACTTTCATCTCATAGCATTATCAGTATCGCCTCCAATTGCGCTATATAGTACACCATTCTCCTTTCTAGTTACTAAACCCCGACAAAGGACTACGTAGGCATTACAGTGCGACATACACGATAGACCCACAGAGGCAAGGCAACATGGCCGAGTGATCTAAGGCGCCAGAATTGGGTGGCGAGATCCTTTTAAGGTTCTTCTCAAGTATTCTTTATCTGGTCCGAAAGGACGCGAGTTCGAACGTCGCTCTTCATTATCCTGTTATTATTTCCCCCCCATTAATTATGTGGAAGACTTTTGAGAAGGACCGAAGCGATTGGGACGAGGAGGGGGGATATGACGTCATCTAGTACCTCATTCAATCCCATGAATTGATTAATTAATAAAATATTATATTATATGTCCATGCCAGAGTAAGACTGGCTACAAGCTTGCCTTTTTCAACTATCTATCCATTATATGTAAAAGTCCAGCCAGTACCGTGCTAAACTATCGGAGTGGGTTAACTGAGCGGTACCTCCTCAGATCTCCGTTGTCCTTGGATTAACTCGTAGTGGATTTCTCCAGAGCCTAAATCACATTAGATACACATTATTATCAAAAAGATCCTTACTAACATTTTCAGTAGTACTAGTTCCACTTTCAACCTGAGCTTTCTCTATATCCGCTTTAGCCTGCCACTCGGGAATTTGGAGGAGCCACCCTGGATGGAAGACGTTCAAGGTGTACATGGCGAGGACGATCATTGCTCCGTCGAATGTGTCTGGAATTAAAGGTAAGCCACGCCAAGGCTCGAGAGATTGAGAATGGAATACTTACTGAAGTACCACTGCGTAGAAATAATAATACCATCCCATCCGTCGATGAGCTCGATTGACCTGTAGACCGTCCTAAAGAAGAAACAACAACGATTAATCCTAATCATAAATTCCACCCAAATTCCACTCACCTGACAAATATAAACCCAGTCATCAGCCCCAACCCAATCAACTGCAACCTAAGCCTCTGCGTGAGCACTCCTTGTCCCCTCGCACTCTCCCGGATCGGTTTATCCATATTATAGCGCGTCAAGAACTCTGCCGCCAAGATGGTGTAGAATACTAATGCAGCTGTAAAGACATTAATATTGAGGGAATAATGCATATCTATTAATAGGCGCACTCACCCATTTGGAAGAAAATCCCAACCAACATGATGTGTCCGCCTGTATTGGGATTTTTACCGTTGCTCGAGGCGGAGGAAGCTTGGCCTCCGCCTACTGCTTGGATGACGAGTGCGATGATGTCCTGTGTATTCACGGAACAGATTAGCTCAAGTTCGGATATTTCCAGGGGCACGTACGGCGGATAAAAATATTATGGAATCTAGAAATCCATGTCAGTAAGTCAATTTAAGTTTTTTTTATGTCCTTTTTGTGCCACTCACATAATTTAGGTGTAAGGCGAGAGTACTGAGGCCCTAATCGGTCGATGACGCGACCTAAGATGATGAAGTTCGTCGCTAAATAGGGGTGAGGTCAATATAGAGAATAATGATGAGGAAGGGCGGAAGTGGATTTACCGATGAAAGGGGTTGGAGCGATGATCTAAATGTCTCTTCAGTAAAATGCGAGCTCAGATGCAATGTTTTGGGAATGCTTACAGTTGCTGAAATTCTGTTGAAAGGTGAGCATATATTCCTTAGGGTGTCCGAAAAGCGCAAAACTCATAACTTACTGCATCAAAAAAGGCGTCTTATCCACCGGATTCTGACTGGACCATAACCTCGCTGACCATCCTACGACCTCTCCGATCCCAGCAAGGACCACTGTTGGGAGAGTCCACCACAGACGAAACAAGAATGCTCCTTGGATAAGGTGAATTACTGCAGGCGTTCAATGGATTATGTTATCAGAGGATTCAATGATAAGTGAGAGAAAGATACTGACTAGCAGTGATGGAGAAAAGGGCGACGAAGAGGGCACAGATCCATTCGGTCGGGATATAATGATATGGGACGGCTTTTATAAGGGCTTGTTCGGTGGGGTAGCCGTGGAATGCAGTTCCATTAGCTGAAAATTTAAATCGAAATTGAAGTTAGTGACGCATTAGAGAAAGCCTGAGTTTAGAAAGCATACACATGGCGAAGTCAGTCGTCAATTACAACAACTTATTCCAAGTGGTCCGATTGGAAGGGGAGAAAGGTATTATGCACCGAATATAGTTAAGAGTGACTGAGTGGTGAGTTATCCGGGTGCAGTGGACAGACTAGTAGTAGGTATGGCAAACTAACCACAAAATATACCCGCATATATACTGTCCAGGAAACTAACCAAAGTTTCAATGAGGCGCCATCCGCCCCTTGACGGAAAGGGAGGGAGATATTCTATTATTCTGCTCATTAGTTGATTGGCTCCAATGTTCAAAGTATACATGCGTTTGATCCAGGAGATGGGCCGAGTGAATTCAAGTTCTCGTCGTCACTGCGGAAGGTTCATGCTGGTCGCTTGCACTGGGATTACCCCTGTAAATCAAAGAAACATAGCTGCGAGTTAGTTGATCTCTTACCTAAAGGGAGATGTACTTAACCAGATAAGGGAGGCTTGAACTTAACCAGCTCCAGTGCGTTGCGCGGTGCAACGGAGAATTCGAGCATCTCTCCCCCCATTTGCTCCTTCTGAGAGTATAAAAAAAAACATGTGTGCTGGTGAGGCCTCTGCATGATTTCAATTAAGGGATAATTTTATTTCGTCCGCTCCCGACTTATTGAAGGACTTTTCATTGGGGCAGTCAACTTGAAGGCTAAGTATCCATATCAATTAAAATGGAATAAAGTATCAAGGGAGACCCTTCAAGATCTCCATTTGATCGCAAAAGCTACAGTGCGCGGTGCGACGGAGATATCACTGAAGTCCCTCATTTGCTCCGAATATTGATACTCGAGGTGGGTCTGGATTCTGGAAATCCATACAGAGGGCAGGCAGTCCGAGGGTAGAGAAATTCTTTGCAGAATTTCTAATAAGGAGCTCTTGTCGGTAGATTTTTGTTTCCTTAGTCTCTCAAAAATTATGTGACTGGAATTAATTTATTAAGTAATTATCTAATATTAGTGCGCTTAGAGAGAATAGGACTCAGAGCTCGTCACGTCGGTCAAAGCTATACACTCCTAAAAAGAGTTATACCTTGCTTTGATCTTTCTTAAACTTGGTAGCCCTGCTATCATCCCAACACATGGAATTTTCGTCTGGTAGAAATCGCAATAATCTTGTTGTTGCATAATACTCCCCGGAGATAGTGGGAGAAAGCAGTGTAAAGCAAGGCAACATGGCCGAGTGGTCTAAGGCGCCAGAATTAGGTAGCAGGTTTTACTTGCATTCATAAATCTGGTCCGAAAGGGCGCGAGTTCGAACCTCGCTGTTGTCATTATCTTTTTGACATTTTTTCCTATCATCCTGCAGAGGTCCTTTTGAGAAGATCAGAGCTTCGGGAGAGTTGATTGGAAAGGGATGTGCAATGGATTATGACGTCATGCTTTTCTATATTGGGTTCACTTTGGCGCTGGCTTTTCTTCCATCTTTGTTGACAGTTTCTTCTGGATAACAGCAGGGGTCGCTGCTTTCACAGTTCATAATTTCTCGCTTGTTACTCGCGCATCGTTGTTAATCGATCAGTTAATCTATCCATATAAGTACCTTAAGAGTGTTCGATTACTTATTTTTCCGACTCGGAGGTGCAGTGCAACTAATTTTGAACTAATTGAAGCTTATTATTCCACTGATTATCTAACAGTTTTCCGTTCTCGGGCTGAAATACTTTCCATTCTATCAAGTGATCAACCGATGTCTATACAGAGCAATTTCCTCTCGTGAGTAATTACAGTCATTACCTTTGTTATTCCCAACAGTTTTCCGAGGGCGGGCTAAACTTCTTATTGTACGGCATATGAAACTTCATGGCTGAATTAGCTCATATTCCCATAGCTAGGTAATTCAAGAGTCGGGTGTCCTCCTTCAAACAGGTATTTGCCAGATTTCTTCTCGAATGACTCTTAACTCGGACATGATGTGCCTCTCATCTGGCTTCACAAGTCCAAACTTTGCTCTGAAGTGTATCCTTTCAGATGCGTATTCCTCCTAATTGCTCTAGATAAGGTTCTACCCACCTATTTCGGTCAGCGTCCGCGTCGTCAAGTAGGATAGTAGGAACCAGGAGGCAAACGTTTGTTATTCTCTCGCCTAGCCAGTCCTGCGAGGTCATGGGTCTCTGACTTGAATCTTGATCGCACGTGTAAGTAAATTGACACTTCCTATCAATAACAATGAAATATGTCTGATCCGTAGGGTCTAAGTATCACAGTGGGCATAAGCACTTATCTCTTTATAAGGAACTTTCACGGATTAGGGAATCGGAACTCCTATTTTACTCCCACTGCCAATGCAATCATCTGGGAGCTATATTATTATTCAGAGTCACTGTGAGTCCATTATTTCCAGTGTCAGGCGATAAACTGTTAACGGAAATAACTTATAGCCTGCGCATGGCCCGCGTCCGGCCTTGGTGTCTTCGGTGTATCTTCATGGCAATTATATATAGTCCTGACTTAACTGCATATGTTAGTCAATCAATGGCTGTGTGACACTTCCTGTCTTAATGAAATCCCTGAACCTTGGGCCTGAACACTCATCTTCTTACACTGGCAGAGCATTAACAGTTTGGGAAATCAGGCCTCCTAACTCTCTCTCTCTCTCTTTCCCAGCCTGTAAGTAAGTTTTGCCAGGTCCATCTGAAACTATCAATTTTGATTTAGTCTGTTCCTTGGCTGAGATTCGGAATCCATTAATTTATTTACAGGGCATTAAGGTTCACAGGGACGACTCCTATTTATTCAGGTTCCAGCATTTGCCAGCCTTCTTAGGATAACTCGGACTAACGAGCTCAAATCCTTACGAAAATAGCAAACTCAAGATTCAGAAATACGTACGTAGGATCCAGCCCCAACTAATTATGTACTAGTGACTCTGAACACAGGAAATTCCTGTTCTGGTACGCCTTCCTCCCCTATTTCCGTTTAACGGTTTAGTAATAGTGCCCTCTCCCTCCGTTATTAACCCGCCTCCTTCCTGGAACGAACGCTGTTCTCTCGGCAGTTAAACGAATAAACCTTACTCGCGAAGTTTATTGACTATGCTTTCTGCGCTTTCTGGGACGAATTGCCACTGCCAGCCCTGACTTCATCATCTAATCTACCAAGAGCACCCAAAGGCGTATGAAGACCAGGGCTGTGCCATATATTACCTACAAGAGTGAGACTGCTGTAATGTGCTCTAAGTACCTTTAAGGAAGAAAACTCATCGGCTTGCCAGGATGAATCTGGGCCTATCATTTATTACACCCGCAAGACTCAGGCTGTACTGTGCTCTATCTACTTTCGAGGATTCCCAGTCTTGCTTATTTTCGCTTATTCTCTTCCTTTCCATCCGGATCCGCTTCCGCATGTTAAATAAGGTTCTCTCTGCCGATATAACTTTGAGACTCCTGGCGTATATCCGAAAAATTGTCAAGCTCATGATAATTGATTTGTTAACTCGCTATTGAACAGACCATGCACAGGACATCCATATCAACGACTCACCGCAGTAAATAAAAGACAAAGCGAACAAAAAATTAATGAAGGCTTCATCACTCCTGGTGTGCTGTGCTGTGTTTAACCTGACATAGTGGATCTCCCTGTCATTACTACTCATCCGGTCAAATTGGGATCTTAAGTTCTCAGTTCTCCGTCAGTAGGCATCATATCTGTACCCCTATTAGGACGCGACATTACAATCATATGTGGAAGGTGTAAGCGATCCGATGTATGGATGGAATGTAATGATGTAAATCAGACTCAAAAATCAAATGGGCGAATCATAATCAGAAGTCTCACTGGATTTCTACTAACCAGCTGACTTCAAGGCTCGCAACAGCAATGTCATAATAGATCCCGAACCTCCGATTAGTGGTGCAAATGCGTTATCGGGGCTGATTATTATAATCAGAATCAAAACAACTTGAGAAGGGTCGGTAATAGTAAATGCGGTATTTTACTGGTTAGCTCAGGGTTTCACTCATCAGGCTGCATCGCAACTCGCCTCCGAGTGGTGTAGATATTACATTAATACCGGTACCAGTAAGTAAGCAGCAGTTTCCTCTTCTTTTCTCTTCAAGCAAATCAGAGAAGCTAAAAATCATGACGTATTCATCAAAAATTTCTATATATGGTATGCAAGCTGACTGGCACGTTTTTATTGTCTGTGTTGCTTCTGTGACAATCCCTTAATTTACTAGAATTTACTGTCTCGCGTAAGATCCAAGAAATCTCCCATTCGAACGGAGGATTCTTCGGGACCTTAATTGTCTAACTCGGGAGACTCTACTAGTATTATTTAGATATTGAGTGGAGCAAAAGTCAATAGTATGTTCGGTACCCTGGAGACTTGATTGACTCTAGGTGATATATTTGGACGAGGTGAGTGGGGCTGTCAGTAAGATATGCTTCAATAGGGAAAATTCATTACTTTGTCCTGATTGAGGTTCCATTTTCATACTTACGCGCATTTTCCCGAACTTGGAAGAGAGCCGCAATATTTCTAATGAAGTAGCATATGGTGGCATATTCATATGACTTTCATAAATATGTATGCGAATTCACTGCATATTGGTTCATCGTACGACAAGAAGCGAAATTTCACAAGCGAGGCTTCAGCAAGGCATGAAGAAAGGTCCTTCTATATTAATGAATATTGTCCGTAATTATTGCAGGGCTCAATGTTAAAATATGAACAGGCGTTGCTTCGCAACACAGTAGTGCATACACTGCGATTTGAGTGCCATAGCTTCTATTCCTCGCCATTCCTCATCACCACGAGGTTCTTTTCTACAGATATCAGTGTTCGTTTTAGCAACAGCTTCTCACTTATCTATTAAACTACTTCAAGTTCTGCATAATTATGCGACTAAGTATAATGCGTCTGACTGGCACCAGTGCAGTTCATGCTATACCTCAGGTTCTCAGCGCTCCGTCGAGTTATTTGATCTGCTTTATTTGAGCTTTATGTGTATATTCAACGTATATGAATTTTCAAGCTTTCCCAAGCGCCCCAAAGTTTAATTAGAATAGGAGAAAACCCCTGCAGGGCACAGTTTGACGTCACTCGATCTGCATATATGACAGGACTAGTTCAGTGGGTTCCACAGGGGTGTAATAACAAAGGCCGCTTCAAGCATGATAATTCAAATTTCTCCGCACGGATAAAGAAGACGTGTCTAAACAAACGCCTCCTAAAGATCCAAGTCTGAATGAGGTTCCGATAAAGATGTGGTTTGGCTGCCACTGATGCCAGTGTTGAGCATCGTGCTTCCTGAGTTCTGGAAATGTCAAGAAAGGAAATAGTCGGCTAACTCGGGCCAGGAATGGACATCGTGGAACTTCTTGTATATCTGGCAGACTGGATAGTAACCCATCCAGCTCCCTATTAGATAAGGAAGTATTAGATTAGAATTTCCCCTTTGCGTTCCGAAGAACAGCGATATATGATACGGATGGTTAAGACAATGAGTATCTTTCGAGCGACAGACATAATGTGGCTCCTGCCGCTGTGAAGTAGATCGCATGATTGAATAGAATGAAGCTCGAATATACTCCTACATGATACTAATAAGACTTGGATGTTTAGATTATCTTGCGAATCATATATTTTATCGTTTATTATAATTAATCGATGAATTCTTATTTTATATGAACATCTACTTCCCTAATGATTATATACCTTTTTATGACGGAACTCATGTGTACCCAGGCTGAAAAACAACATATTCCCCTCAGGCTGCCTTGTGGTTCATACCGTAAAAATTTGATAGCACCTTCTCCCCATGAACGGCGAGATTCTATCTCATTCTCATACTTCCACAACTTCATTCGTGTCTCCCGTAGCTTGTCTTCCAAGCGCCAAATGTCCCGAGTCCAAAAGTCTATGCAGCACTGGTAAGTGAGCCTAGTATAGCTATGGGCGGTCCTGTGCAAAAAAACTCGAATTTCACGTTAAACTGTTTGGGTAATTAATTTCGTATACACCGCTATGGGCGGTTCTGTGTAAAAAATTGAATTTCATGTTATACAGTTCCGGTAATTATTTTGCTATACAAATGATCAAAGTAAGCAATTAATTTCATACATTGCGCCGCGTACAGCAACTAATTTTGTACACACCGCCGCGTAACATTTTCCTACCGCCACCATTGGATGAATAGTTTTGTGCTTATTTCCAATTCCCACAGATAGAGATGAGCACATCTTGTCTGCATGACCCGGCTCCTCTCTACTGCTTGAAAGCTTGACATTGGACTTATGAGACTTGATTGGAAAATGAACGTGTATGCTGTAA